CAAAGGCCTTCTTAAAGTCTAGAAAGACTATGTCCACAGTGAGACCATCATCCAAGGATTTAGTCACTTGGTCTTAAAAGGCAACCTCAATGAGAATACCACAAAAATAGCTATTTTGGGGGGGGGTTGATCAAAAGATACTCATGATGCTATTTATGTTCCTTTCCTTGGAAAAATGATATAAGGAAGAATACACTGAACATAGTGAATTTGCTACAGATGCTGTATATGCACATGGGGATTTACAGGGACAGTATAACGTAATCAGAAGTCTAGACATGCCATACAGATACGGCTTGCTGATCTCTAACGCACTTGCTTGTGCGTGTGTGTGCTCTCTAGGCCTGTGCAAGTAGGCAGCTATTCGATCCAGCTATGGATCTGGCCACTTCGGATGCCAGCGATCCAATCTGGAGCTCCGGATCAGTTTCCCGCTTCGATCCGGAAGTTTTGTCACAAGTTTTGCCTATCAGCAGCTTGAGGTGCAGTTCCCCCCAAACCCCTGCATTGATCTGCTTGAAACTTGGCAGGCTTTGTGGCCTCACCAAGGGCCACTACCCCTGCAATTTTCACCCCTCTGTGGTGTAACACATAGACGTGACACAAGTTTTGCTTTCAAGAATTTGGGGTGCAGTTCCTCCCAAATCCCTGCATCTATCTTGTTGAAACTTGGCAGGCTTTGTGGCCTCACCAAGGGCCACTACACCTGCAATTTTCACCCCTCTGTGGTGTAACACATAGACGTGACACAAGTTTTGCTTTCAAGAATTTGGGGTGCAGTTCCTCCCAAATCCCTGCATCTATCTTGTTGAAACTTGGCAGGCTTCAGCAGAATGCTCTCAGCAGAAGCTATCACCCCTGCAAGTTTCATCTTAATCAGACAAAAAACAACAACGTTATAGATATTTCATTGATTCCCCATTATACCCTATGGCCGGATCTCCAAGGCAGCTCTGAAGCTTTTCCAAAGTGGTTCAGAAAGCCTAAAGAAGCCAGCGCTTAGATCCAGACATGCTGCTTCGGACACCAAAGCATCTGAAGCTTCTCCAGATCCAAAGCATGGTCTGAAGCCTTGCATAGCCCTAGTGCTTTCTATTATACACATTCAAGGAGAACCTCCACCCCCCATAGAATTAACAAAAAAACAAGTCACAGCATATCTCAGATATATGTTTGGGTTCTTTTACCTTTTGATCCCATGGGACTGTACTTTAGATGCTATTTTGCGAAGTCTTGCAGCTGACTGAAAAGTATAGAAATAAAAGTCTTAGAAGCATCAGATACTATACTTTTGTGTGAAAAATTAACTAAAGTAATTATATTGCTGTTTTAGTTACAAGAATGAACAAAAATATTAGGTTTTCACATTTATTCTATCAAAATGAATAATCTAACTTGTCCATTTTTTGCTTTGTAAATTATTTTCCTAACTTCCAATTTTTCAGACTAAAAAGGGAACCCAAGAGTCAAGTTGTGTTGCTTCTTTCTCTTGCTTTTACTACCCATGGCAAAAAATGGCACTGAGTTCTGCAGGTGGCATAAAACAACAAAGTCTGGTTCATCTAGCTGTTCTATACCTCCCCTACAAAAACACCAGAGCATGACCAAGTAGAAATAAAAATTCAAGAGAAAACTGTGTGTATGAAAACCAATGATATGTTCCAGTTTGAGGACACAAGTAGTTTTAGTTTAACAAAAAAAAAATCACAAGAGGCTGCACAAATGCTATAACATTGCTATCAATCAGGGACTTGGATTCAATACAACTGCAGACAGAGAAGCCTAGTGGGAGATAACCAAGCACTTGCTCATAGCATCATTTTCTCAGACATATGAAGCTCTCTAAAGCATAGCTGGTAAGCCCACCTTCGTAGAGGTGTGCGCAGATAAGAAAGATGCCTTAAACTTTGGGTACTACAAAGATATCAAAGATGACCATAAACCAGCCAACCAAGGTACTGGTTGCAGCAGCACTGTGGAGCTCAGCAAAAGCTGACTTGCCCTGCTTCTTGGGCAGGCTCTGTGGCCTGTGCCAAGATCCATAGAGCTGCAGCTAAATTAGTACTTAATTCAGTTTACAGCCTCCTCACACAATACTGTAGATACTTCATTGCACTCCCCATACCACACACCTAGGTACTGTTTCTGTTCCACTAGCTGGAAAGGAACTCTTGAATCTCAGCTTTATCCCTCCCTATTCTGTCCACACCCCTCAACCTATAAGCAAGTAAACAAGCACGTGGACTTTGCTGCATCACCCTGCTGCCAAAAGAGGATGCACAAGGAATTAAAAATAAAGAAGACACAGGAGAGAGAATGAGTCTGGGAAAAGGCTACAAAGACCAGGATCGGCGTATGTACGAAAAATGAAAAATGTTACTTCCTTAGCATTTTTTAGAGTACTCCCACAAAGTATTAGATAATAGTTAGTGTTATATCTTATCTGAAATCTCCCCCTTCAAAATTTTAGATTAAACTTCTACCAAAAAACTTGGTTCAAAGGATAGTCCAACACTGTGAAGTCTGGTGTTTCTTGGAGTTTTTATGCTCTCCTTCAAAGCACCTGGCATTGCGTACTAATGGAGACACGTTTCACAGCTACGTGGACCACGGGTCGTTTCTGTACAGTAATTACCATTCAAGTTAGTGCGCCAATATTTTGTGTGTACTCTCGAGAGAAACTATACAAACCTCATGCAGCTTCAGAGAAGCAAAAAAGTTAGCATTTTCTTTAATGTTCTTGAGTCTTTTTCTTTCATAGGCTGACAACTGCGAAGATCCCTCCTACACAAAATAAAGGAAGGCAATTATAGCGTTAATAAGCAGAGTGCATACGGAGGCCAGGACTGCCGAGAAGACAAAGAACTACACAAATTTTTCTTTTTATTCTAACAAACTAGAAACATTTAGAAGATGTGATGTTTCAAATATTTCTTGCGTTCTTTTATAGATAAGATTTTCTCTGTCTAAGATGAGCAGACATGCTTCTTCCAAATATCCGCTACTGCATGAAGTTATGAACAGCAAAAAGTATAAGCTACCTGAAGGATGGTTTAAAAAAACCTGAAGGCTTGGAGAAAGAAAATGTGTGCTGCACTGACCTCCTGAACAGCAGGGCTTTGCCAGAGCACTGCCGAAGGGACCAAAACCAACACCGTCACACACGAGCAGCAGAGCTGCTTCCACGCAAAGAGCTTTCCTATTGCTTTTCCCCACAACAGGAAAGAGGAAAACTAGCTCCAATCACAGAGTCTGATATTAAGGAGCTAATGGAAAAATTTTTGAGTTTGTGCCTTCTGGAGCACAGGTGGACATGGTGAGACTTCTGAGATGTGAAGAAATCTGCAGGCAAGGCAGTTAATACGGTAATTTTAGGAAAACCTTATTAATTCCATGTGTCAAGTATCCAGGTTGTAGCTGTATTGGTTTAGTGGAAACGGCAATCAGGACTCGTAGTAGAGATGATGTCTTTTATTAGGCCAACAAGATTTTTGCAAAAAATCTTGCAAACATCTTGTTGGTCTAATAAAAGATAATCTCTCTACTAGAAGTCCTGATTGCCTTAATTCCAAACACTGGCAGAAAGCAAGCAAGTTTTATTGCAGGATGGGTGTGTTCTGTGCACATGTGTACACATGCATGCACACACACACACACGCATGCAGCCATGAACATGCATGCATGCACTTTTGAAGATTCATGCTTGAGTTCTCCATGAAAGTTAAAATTCTTTTAATAAAATATTGTGCTCCTAATATGATACTGAAATAATAAGTAAGGAAGCACCCAGAATGGGCTGCTTATATCAGAACAGCAAAGCCTGTAAAGAGAGATCGTTATTAGCT